CCCTCGTTCCTCCATTACAGAACACTTGCTAGACACGGGTCATACTGTGCACTCTAAAACTTCCTTTAGAGCATTTCCGCGAGCATGGACAACTCGTACCTTGCGCTACCTGGAGCCAGCCTATATAAGGCGATCTAAAACTGACCTATGTAAACTGTTGGAGCATGTGGCCAACATAGCCTTGCCTTGGTAACATCCGGCTCCCAGATTTACACAGTCCCCTACCCACTTTTTTCCTAACTGCCTTTCCTCTGTTTCCTGTTCAACCTTTTTTAACTCTCTATCTTTACTAATTTACCTTCGTGACAATGTCTTATGGCCTTTTGGCCTTTCTGTACCAATTATTGTTATTATTTTTCTCATTCGTTACCCTTTAATGCACTGGAGTGGACGCAGCTGATGAGCTCTCCCGAAATTTCGTGGATCCTATTAATTTTTCTGTTTTCGTCATCTACAGAGTACCTCTTCCATCGAAATATATATAACTGCGGGCAAACCGCGAGATCTTCACAAGCTGCCAACAGATTACCAATAGCACAATTTACTTAATTGCCTACCATATTGGTTGCAGGTAAAATAAAGAATTGTGCAATTCATGCACCAGTGACAATTCGACCCACGGGATAGATTATTACACATACTCATTCTACTACTCTTGTTAAGCGAGTAGTTATAGATTATTTATTTATTATTATTAATTATGATTTAATGATTTATTTATTATTTCGACACCAACAGCTTTTCGCTCTTCGCCAGCAAGCATGTTATTGAAGTATTTTTTTCTTCTATTTTTCTTTGGTATCCATGCCTTCTTAACCATCTAGTTACCGATAGGGAGCTCAAAGGCGTTCGACCATCTTTCCCTCAATCAACTGATACTGATAAAATAAGATGTTTCCTGACATTGGACCCAAGTTTTCTTGCTGTACGAGACCGGTCACAGTGACTTGGATCTGCCTACGACTTTGCTGCCGCGAAAGGCCTACCGAGTAAGACCAATCCTCCTCTGGAGCTTTGCGTGTATGTGACTGGGTTGAAACGAAAAGAAATACGCGTCAGTACTCACAGTCTAGTGCGTTTCGATGAATCAGACTAGGACTATCTCTACTGGCGAGTAAGGTGATCTAACTTTTGAAGGCTTCCTTCGACTAGCTACTGTCCTAGCGAGCTGGCGAGCCATGTCACTTGACAACGAGGTAATAAAACCCGGCCGGTGAAATGTTCTTTGAATGGGGCCGATCAGCATTCCAAAATTGTGTCATGAGACTCGAAATGCTCCAACCGATTATAATAATCGATGTTAGAAATTTCTATAGGGCTTTCTTTTGCTGATGGCTATGATGATGGTGATAGTGATGCTGGTGGTGGTGGTTGTCGTGCTATATGAGTAGGTACGCTGAACGATTTACTAGCCCACTTGGCCTATATGACTCACATCATTTCCAAAAAAGAATTTAATTGAAAATCAGCCCTCGGCTATTCGTAGAGCTGTGCAAAAGGTGTATTTGTGTGATGAAACGTGGACAGGGACAAAATTACACAGTTTTATACAACTCGAATGCCAGGTCACCCACATAGGCGTAGATAAAACCGTCTTTCACGTGTGTCACGTAACTGAAAAGCAGGAGAGAGGGGGTGATTAGCAGAAGAAAAAGAATGGATGACATAAATACCAGAATTTTTTTTAAATAAAGCATGTCCATTCTAATTATTACTCAATAACTTCAATTACATGCTAATCTCTTGCATTGGTTCATTGGACTGGCTCTCCCAGCGAGGCGAATACTATAGTTATCGGTTTATCGTATGCAATGATGTGAAAAGGGAGCATTGCAAGGCATCGTCGCATTTTGCCTGATGTTTCGGCCAGATGCGAACGCTGTGCATTCTGAAGAAGTTTAGGGCTCTACAGAATCATGCGGAGAGTAAATCTATGCTTAAAGAATTTCCATTTAATTTCCGATGCATTATACAAGTCTGCTTTCTTGGTCGGAAGACCGTTTCCAACGATCAGTAACATCGTTTCTTTACTAGGTACCCATTGTAAAAGTCTGTAGATTATCTCTTAGCTAATGGTAGAAAGGGAGATATGCGCTCTTTTTTGAAGATATCATAGTATACCAAGAACTATAGCTTCTTCAAAGAAACTAAATGTAACTTGGAGATCAGTGAGTGCTATAAAACTTCCGATTCTGTGTAGTGAGGCTTGTAAACAGTGAAGATGTGATTTACCCTGCGAGACTTGAAGGAAGATGCTTTCTAACCTTGACAACAGATCTCAGCTAAAGAACTTGGTCTGCACTACGGGCAACTGAAGTTCTTTCCAAACAGTTAGTAATACAGCGGTGTTTGACAGCTCATTCTTACCTGCCAAAGTCCTTTCCCACGATGCAATGCCAGGTCTCGCCATGGAGGGTGTCGAATTCCTTCTTCACGAAGGCAGCCATGTCTTTTTCAACTTCGAACTTCGAGGCGGCCAAAAGAACAATCTTAGCGGCAGACTCCTCTAACTCGGGGCTCATATCAGAACTGCGAATATCGACCTTCATGTCGTTAGCCATGGTAAAGAGTGTGTGTCGTCAGCTATTAGCTCATACCTCCAAGTGCCGGCAGTGTCTCTTTTATAGGCCAAGGCATAGGTACTTTCTCGGTGGCAGGTGTTGTTTTGCCGCGTGTGCAGTTGTTGTGACTTGAAGTGCATCCCTTCCACGCAGCCCTTCCGTTAGCTCCTTTTCTTCTGTCTATTAAAAATAACCGCGGAAACAAAAACACCCTGTTGTTATGTCAGATGTGCTTAAAGTGCAGGAAACATCGAAAGATTATTTCAGGCTCTCGTTTCTACCGATGTACGATACTACTGATCTGAACCATTTGTCCTTACACGTTAAGCTGCTTCTATGGTTGGTCTAGGATATGTCTTCATCATCTCCCTCAAACTATTGTACCATTATCTATGATTAAGGATTCCCGACGGAATCCGAAACGTCAGGACCATAAAATTCTTGTTCCACTGGTCGCATCTCCTTCTTCCTCCTCTTTATCAAAGCAACTGGTCACTTGAACTACGGAAAAAATGTTAATGATCACCGCTGACCCTTCAGTTATGGTAACTTGGGTGTTGCATTCAACAGCCAAAGGGCGCGGGATCAAAATTCGGGGCCACCCCTCCTGGCTGAAGAGTCAGAAATGGCCAGTAATACCCAATCCCAGGTGTGGATCACACGAGATTCGAACCCGAGACCTCTGTTCGTTCAGTGCAACACTCTACCATTGCAGCACGGCCTCGCTGCATTTATCGGTTGCTATCGGGGATGTGGTGGATGTAGGGTCCTCATCGAATTATTCAGTAAGGGAGCACATACATCCCAATCCCAGATGTGGATCACCCGAGCATCCAAACCGGGAACTTTAGTCATGGAGTACAACAATCTACCTTGATACTGGCTCGAGAGCGGGTCCCAGCGCATAACGGAAAGTGCGAGTTCCATACCGATCAATGTGCACCCACCCACCATTGCGCATCTTCCCGGTTGAAACCGACAAGGCAACAAGTCCGTAGCGCAGGAGTTAGAGAGCTTG